TCCCCAGACCCATCTTGTATTTTCTCTGCTCTAGTCCTGGGATGAACCATTCTAGGAATCTTGTTTTCCTTTTATCAAAACAAACAAACAAACAAATAACCCAATCAATAAATGGGCCAAGGACCAGAACAGCCACTTCTCAGAAGATAATATACAATCAATCAACAAATATATGAAAAAATGCTCATCCTCTCTAGCAATTAGAGAAATGCAAATCAAAATTATTTTAAGATTTCATCTCATTCCAGTCAGAATGGCAGCTATTATGCATGCAAACAACAATAAGTGTTGGCAAGGATGTAGGGAAAAGGGTACACTCACACATTGCTGGTAGGACTGAAGATTGGTGCAGCCAATATGGAAAGCAGTATAGAGGTTTTTGGAAAATTGGGAATGGAACCACCATTTGTCCCAGCTATCCCACTCTGGTTTATACCCAAAGGACTTAAAAACAGCATACTACAGGGACAGAGCCACATCAATGTTTATAGCAGCACAATTCACAATAGCTAAATTGTGGAGCCAACCTAGATGCCCTTCAATAGATGAATGAATAAAAAAATGTGGCATATATGTACACAATGGAATATTACTCAGCAATAAAAGAGAATAAAATCGGGGCTGGGGATGTGGCTCAAGTGGTAGCGCGCTCACCTGGTATGTGTGGGGTGCTGGGTTGGATCCTCAGCACCACATAAAAATAAAATAAAAAGATATTGTGTCTACCGAAAACTAAAAAATAAATATTAAAAAAGAGAGAATAAAATCATGGCATTTGCAGGTAAATGGATGGGGTTAGAGAAGATAATGCTAAGTGAAGTTAGCCAATCCCAAAAAACCAAATGCCAAATGTTATCTCTGATATAAGGAGGCTGACTCATAGTGGGCTAGGGAGGGGGAACATGGGAGGAATAGACGAACTCTAGATAGGGGAGAGAGGTGGGAAAGGAAGGGGGGGCATGGGGTTAGCAATGATGGTGGAATATTTTGGACATTATTATCCAAAGTACATGTATGAAGACACGAATTGGTGTGAATATACTTTGAATACACTCAGAGATATGAAAAATTGTGCTGTATATGTGTAATAAGAATTGCAAAATGTTCCGGTCCGCTGCCATATACAAATAAAAAATTAATTTAAAAAATAAAATTGGAGACCAAGATCTAGGAGTGTTTTTATTGCCTTGAATATCAGTGTATCTAGACTTTCTCAGCAGACTGAACTACAAAATATGTGTATGTCTAACTCACATAAACACATATTAATATCTATCTGTCAATCAAGCCAGGAGTTTGCATTGAAACCTTAGATTTTAGTCCAACACTCCAATGTCCATTTTAGCCTTCCCTTTTCCTTATTTATGTCTTCCTACTCATTAACTATAATGCATTTACCTATTTGTACATGCATGTATAGCAATTCAAGATTGGTAACGCACACCCTTGTGAGAAATATTTTCACTAACTGGAAAGCAGCATGTATGTGAGGTTCTTTTAGTCTTTAACTATTAAAAGGGGATAGTTCTTAGACCCTCACAATCCTGATATCTTCTTTAGAAAATAGAACATTTTAGGAATAATGTCTTTACAATGCATTGCCTAGACTGAGCAATTTATTTGATGAGTTTGAAGAACAGTATTTATTTATTTATTGTATTCCAGGCACTGTAAGTTTATAAATACACTTTTATTGGCATTAGTTGTAGTTAAACTGCTTTATACCTAAGACACTCTTCATTAATATTTGGACTTCATGATAACTTACAAAAATCCACAAATACAAACACTGTAGCTCAGAGAGGTTAAATGGCTTCCCAGCATATCACAATGAGTTCATGATAGTTGGAATCTCAGTTTGATTTCCAGAATTAGGTCTCTTGTTCACAAGCTATTGAGAATACAGGAGCAATGCCTCCAGCAAGAAACCAGCTGGACCGGTCTAGTGAACTGTAGTTGTGACTACTAACTTATTTTAAAGGTTCTGGTAGTCATTTGTTGAATTTGTTATTGTTACTTCTGCTTTTTAAATGCAATATGATGTACCATGAATCCTCGAATGGAGGTTTACAATGGAAGACGAGGGAGGAATAGAAAAAGTTTAAGTGGAGCTTGATTAACAAGAAGAAACGTACTATACAACAAGATTATTGCAAGGGAAAAAGGGAACCATAGAACATAGAGAACAATCTGAAATGTGGAGAATGGTGGGTTTCTATGGAGAGCGATGCTGAGACTTAGCTAAGGGACTAATGTAATTTCATTGATGAAAAAGATGATGAATTAAGAAAGGGTTTATCTTGTTTTCCAATCCAGGACCGGAGAGTGTAAGGCAGGTGGCTACAAAATCAGAATGAAAAGGAGAGGGTAAAGCTGGAATCTGGTGGATCCGTGAAGGGCTTTGGGATCTGGTTTTATTGGTAGGGGTCTGTGCTGGTAGGAGGGGCTTCCAGGAATGTGTAACAAAGTCCAAAGGGTGTGAGAACACCAACTAGATTCGTTAGCCATATCAATAGTTTATATATTCCAGTAGAAGCCGGAAAGAGAAGGGCTCAGGCAGGAAGACAAACATCTTGGAGTCAGCTACTCAAAGCAGCCTAGAGATGCCTTGCTTAGTGTTTTTTCTTTCTTTTTTTTTTTTTTTTTAAGGGTCAGGGCTATGGCTTTCAAATGCAAGGAGGGCAGCAGAGGAACAACATTGCCATTATCTCTGAATATACTTAGATTTATTTAAGATGTTTTAAGATGAGTGGGATGACTGCATCCTTATATATCTATAGATATAGAGAGAGGGATAGAAGAGCAGAAGCCAGTCAACAAGATTTGGAATAGATATCTTTTCTTTTTTCCTTTTCTAAAGGAGATTAATCAAGAGTTGCATGAAAAAGTATTCATATACAATGATAAGAAAAAAATACAGTGCATATCGAAAAGTTGTTTAAGAGAAATCATAAATAAATAAGGATTGGGCTTGAAGGTAAAATGGAGGAAATATTTGGACAAGGATGTGAGATCTACTTTACTCAAGACACAGACCAAAGCAATATTAAACCTTTTTTCCATTTACCAATTTATGAAAACACACATAATGTTAAGTAAAGAGTACTTGATTTTATATTTAGTGGTTGATATTTTAACACTTTAGCTTTGTAAATTAATTAGATGTCTGTAAAAACCAAGATCTTAGACAAATGTAGTAAACAGAACTAGCCATCTCTTTCTT